AAAATTAATTTTTTTTTCATCAGAAATGCTGCTGTCTGATGATCGCTGAAATGCGTGAAACTATAGTTACAGCTACCCAGCCTTTCGCCTCTGTTGCGTGTGTAATATTATTGTTGTGTGTACGTATTACGGACACACTGGGACGAGGTAGATGATGTATATTCGTATTGTACTGGGATGTGTTCTCATTCACGGTGTAGAGTCCAACACGACTCGATGATTGATTCGGAACCGGGCTGAACGAATGAGTATTGAATGTGAAATGATCCGAAGTACATGTATGCCATGATGGATAGTGCCTTGAGAGAGCAGTGTCGCTTTGACATTCGTTTAAAAATGCCTGGAAGGCGCTAACGAACCAGCTCAGGTGTACAAAACAGCCTGCATAGCTACACGTTCTGTTGCACCACCGACGGTTACACAAAGTCGCGCTGTGGCGTGAGCATCTAGTGAGATTACCGCTCGTGGACATGCATAAGGTCACACAAGAGCAATATGCTAGTCAAGAACTGTGTCCTTTGAAAGAAGAATTGCTATTCACGCGGTTCTTTGTCACTTTTATTAGATTTAGCTCCGCTACAATTCACGCTCATTCATCTATCGATATTGGTACAATGAACCCTAATATACAAAACAGACGTGGAGTAAAATGCATTATTATCTCTAGGGCACAGACATGGCCGTATTCCGCAACTCATTGCACACAGAATGTACTGCTTCCGAGTATCAATCACCACAACATGGTCGATTAGCAGTTAGCAGAGAACGTGAAACTACTGAATGCCTTCAACCCTTTCGCAATGTCGAGGAATTCGGGTGACATGTCCCCTCTTGGAGAATCGTTCGATAACGTAGACGACTGACTGTACACGGTGCCATTCGGTTAGTGCGCGTGTACAGATCTTGATAACCCGTCCAGACCACCTGGTAATTCAATAACCTTCACATGTCCAGCGAATTTGGAAAATCAAATTCCCTTCAATTCAGCCTTTGTGTCATCGTCTTGAGCGCGCCAAGCTGTTGAACGTTCCAAACACGACATTTGTGTTCCTTATCTAAACGGAAACTTGTTCTCTGACAGATGCTGTTGGGGAAGATACCCAAACAGAAACGCGAAAAAGATGAAATGGGACCTGTTGAACTCGGGGGCATGTCCCAAGGCGAACGACACGGAATCGCGTTGGTTACAATCGGCTGGTTGCAATGTGCTGGCAATATGTCTTCACGCCGCCACTACTAGTGCAAGCTCCCTGGCTGTGAAACGTCGTGCAGAGTAACATCTTGTAACGCATATGTAACACGCTTGTAACACGGTGTGTTACCGTCTGTGAACAGCGTGAAGCGAACATGACAACCACCTTGGCAGGTGAAAGTGGGACAGGCCACGCAAACAATGGCGAGCAAACGCCTGTCAAACTGCCACCATTTTGTGTACACACACTCATCGTATGATCCACGTTGCAGGTTCCAGCTCTAGCGACACGAGTCGACGTGGAGTAAATTGTTCAAGGCGGCCTCATAGGCTGAGGATGGATTACATAACGTTCAGGACAGTATTTTATCTGCTGGATGACCCAGTCATGATGCTTCAGTTGAATACGCGACCAACACGTGCATATGTACATGTACATAACAATGCAAGTAGGTGAACATGTGCCCATTCCTAAACCGTATACTATTTGTAGCATGCAGTGTTAAGTTAGTTGCCGCAAATGAGCAACCTGTGCGTGAGATTTGACAGCTCACAGCATGATATAGCGGGGCATGTTGCTACAAGGAAGCGGAGAAAATAGCATAGCCACTTCTGAAGAACTGCAGCACGTTTCACGCTGAAATTGCAGGCACCATAATTGCCATTTCTACCACACCGTACATATAATGAGAACAACACTGTATAGCAGGCCTGCCAAGTTGAACAAAGTGTGGTTCTCAGACGTGCCATATATGTTCTGAAATATTGCGCTCAGGAACCAGCACACACCCACTCTACTCCACAGCAGCTGACCAATAGTTTAGAATGCTCATCCCAGGTCCAAGGTCCAATTTCAATCCCAAATCTCAAGCACCAAGCGCTAAGAATAATACTGGTCGCCGATCAACTCCCTGGATCTCAGTATTTCACTGCGGTTCATGAATCAGCATTCCACAACCTTCCTCGACAAGTGGACATCTAGACCTAGGCCAAGGTGCTTTGCCGTTTCAAAATGCGCGCGAGACCCCAAGCCTAGCCTGCAGCCCCGTGTCAAGAAGATACGATATCTACTCTGCCACTCGCCACTCGTGCTGAGTCGTAGTGTGGAGCGGAAGTCTTGCAGTGGAAGGGCGTTCATGCAGTAGCGCATACAATGAGTTACTGTGCAGTGGGCCATGGGGCTATTGACCTATTGTATATCTAGTACCAGTAGATCTACAGTCATCATGTGACAAACATCTGTACTGGCTAGGAGTGAGGCCAGTAAGTCCGAGCAGTCCTGCCGGCGACACCACACTCCAGTCAGATCAAGACAAGTGTGCCCTTCGCTCACATTCGCATTCGCTTTGGCGTGTCAGCCTCAGCGTCGTGATGTCCCGTCCAGATGGCGCGTCGCGAGGTGAAACGGTAAAAAAAGGCGTGAACACTTTAGGACCCTGGCACGGGGAAGCTCTCGGTGTCTCTGAGGTGCTATTTGCTGCTGTGCGAAGCAGCACTTCATCTGGCTTGATTACTTCGAGTATTCCTATCGACAAACGCACTACTCAATCGGCGCAGCTCTCAGCAGTTTAGGGATCACACCTAGTGGAGGCGAAAAACAATTCCAGTTGGCGAATTGGCAATCGAGCTTGCTGGAGGAATTTCTGGCACCGCAAGTTCTTCCTGACAAGTTGCAGCAACATGTATTTTGAAGTAGTGGATTGGACGACCAAGTAGTTGACCTGTCGTTTGCATCATGTCGAGCGGCATCGCCTCCTTCCTCCATGTGGACAACAATGGGTGAATTGCATAGACAAAGGCGAGGTACATCTGAAACAGTGCGAGGAAACGATCTTTTCCTTTTGCACGTACATGTACTGGTGTGCCACGCCATTGGCGACCGGGAATAGCAAGGCAGCAGAGTAAAAGGAGGAATGATGGAACACATGCACAACTCACGCAGGCCAGATTGGACACGATAGCTATCAAACACTGGGATCATAACTGGAGAACAAAGGGCTTCCTTTTTTGCGCAAAACGACATGTTGTGCTAGGCCAAAGTACAACAGGGAGAAGTCCGTTTTGTCTCCTTGTGTGGCAACAATGCGGTGCTGAACATTCTATTGTGAGATCACAGCCATTGTTAGTTCATTGCCCTCGCTGGAAGAATGTAGCTCGTACATGTACCTTTTCATTACCTCTTCTGAAGGATGTTTTATACTGAGACTGCTCTCAGCCTCGGGAGAATGAAATTGAAGACACCACTGCAGCTGTACTTATGGTTGATAAATATGGTGGTAAAGACACACCTGGCAATATGGCGGTAAACACACGCCTGCCCACACACGCTCTCTAGGCTGCAAAGTTCTGGCACAGAGCAGCCTTGGAAAGATATTTCTATGCTGGATGGAACATGCTGTGATAGGAGCCTAAATGCATGTATATCTCACACAACTATTGCAAAGAGACCGGTCTTTGGACTCCGTCGGGATCTCCGAGAACTTGCCTATCGCCGTTTCCAGCACAGAACATGCACAAAATTGTACACGACCTTTACCTCAGCCCGTCCACAACGTCTCATTCATTCACCATGCAGATAGTATCACACCTTGGTATGGGTGTGAAGGACATTCTTGATGATTTCGGGTGTTGTACGGCCGCGGGCATTTCGCCATAAGGGAGAGAGAGCTTATCATCTGCTGAACATGAACCAAGGACCTCAGCCAGACATGCGATCATCTTTGCATGAGCTCCTTCACCATGCAGCAGTTTTAGGTTCCTGACTTATAAATGTATCACCAGCGATTCTGCGGGGGAAATTATCACATGACTTCCAGCTTCCGGGGGTTATACTGAGGTTACATATTATTAATTTTTTGTAAAGGACGAAACAGTTCTGTCCGCAGATTGAGTATTAATTTGTGTAAGTAAGTTGTGAACAAGGCGCAGCTGGCTAATAGTAATGGCTGTGTGCGAGTATGTTTGCGTGTGTGTCTGCATATGCGTACTGCTATACCGGCACCGCAAGAAGGAAATCAATTATAGGACATCTTGGGAGTAAATAGTTGGTGAGCGGAGCATCACATTCACGCGAAACACAAGATTGGATCAAGAGTCACACTTTTTCACTGACTGGGTGTGAAAATCGCAATGCTGAATCAAGTACATGTACATGTTTCATGCAGTCGTTTTCAGGGCTCCTTTCCAAATTGCACAAGCATTATTTTGACTACGTTCCAGGTTTTCTTCCGTAGCGGCGTGGACTGTGGGCTTCACCGCATACGTAAATATGTCCACCAGTGACCTTCTATGACACTACAGGTAAAGGTTGTTGGTTGGTTGGATGGTTTTATTTTACTTCGCACATTCAAACGGGATGACGACCCAATAAAATGATGGCGAAGGCTTAGCCTAGAAGTGGCTATGGAAGAATATAGTAAAGGAACCCAAATGACTACTCAAGCTGCTCTCTCTTTCTCTCTCTCTCTCTCTTTCTCTCTTTCTCTCACTCTCTCTCTTTCCAAAGTAAAATGTTCGGCTGATTGCCACGCGGTTCAAATATCGACAGCAACACTATAACCAGCCACTGCCGCATTATGTTACGAGAAACGACTCGAGAAAGTTAGTGAAATGTTCCTTGTTGTGCCACGAGGAAGATAAGTTGATTACGAAGCGGCAATGTGTAGACCCTTATAGACGTCACGAGACCTCACAGCAGGTGATAATCCACATCTAGAAAGACATTGGGTTCCCGGTGACTGGTGCTGCTACGGCCTCGTCTGCGGCGAAGCACTTCGCGCCCCTGCACAAGCCACAGTGCGTTTTACCGTACTCTTGAGGCCAGCGCTAGCAGCTTCCCATCCACTGCCACGCATTGGTCGAGGTCTGCTGCCGCCGAACTCCGGCACTTGCCGCATGCATGCTATGCGCGAAGCGTAAATGACTAGCAGTTTAGTCAGGACGCCTCTCATTCTTCTCACTTGCAGGACTTGCCAGTGGCAGTAGTCATAGTGGTAGTAGTAGTGAGTGATGCCGGTAGTAGTTGGGCTGGCTGCACCACTAGCAGTAGCATTTCGCACTAGCATTTCGCACTAGCACTGTAGCAGCAGCAGTTCAACAGACAACAGTAGAGGACGTGGATGAAGGCTGGGCAGGAAAGTGCCATCCCGTCGTCCGTCGACTTGTGCCACTGAAAGCGGAGCAGACGCGAGAGACGGCGGGGTCGATGCCAAAGCGAAGGAGGCCTTATAACCCATGACTTGCCCTCAGCTCCGCCAGTCGTGGAAAGGGCTTAGTGACCAGAACAGCTCACTTCTTCGTCTTCTTCTTCACTTCAACCCTTACCTGAATTCCTCGTCTCTTACCACTAATATTGACAGGCAAAATGACCAGTCAACTCGCAATGATTCCTCTCTCACTGCTTGCAGCTTGCCTGCTGCTGACCTCGTGCTATGGTAAGGCTTGAGTGGCAATGCTGATTTCTCCCAAATGTTCTTGTTTTACTACGTCAAGCTCTTTGATTTGCATCTGCACATCTAGCTTCGGATTAGGGCAAAGCAGCCGTAGTGCACACCTGCTAGTGGTTTGGCCTCGGGCGCATTGGGTGTCAAATTCTATCCTCAATCTGTACTCCAGCTCAAGCGCTCCTGCAAACGTGAATAATAATTATTATTATTCTAACACGTTGGCTGCGCGCGCTGCGGATATCCGGGGAGAGCTATCCATCCCCGTCTTTCGTAGTCCATCAACACGCTCGCAAATCAGTATCAATGTGTTGATAGGCGGGGATTTTGTTTATGTGTTGTGTGCGTGCGTGTGTGTGTGTGTGTGTGTGTGTGTGTGTGTGTGTGTGTGTGTGTGTGTGTGTGTGTGTGTGTGTGCCCGTGTTGTCCTGGCTCTCCTTATTGTTGTTCGTGCAGCGCGACCATCACGGCTTAGGCGAGATCATCCGTCCGGTGTTCGACGACGCTCCTCGGACGACGACCTATTCAGCCAGCAGCGGACTGCTAACGACCTAGAAGCGTCGGAAACGGGAAATGCGCCTTGGACCTGTACACTCCGGTCGAGACAATACTACTTTTCAATCAGTAAGAGCAATGTCGCCACTTTTCTTCTCAAACTCATGTAGATGTACACTTCAGTTCAGGTGCTCAATCATCATAAATTTAGGGTTCACCTTTGCCCGATGATTCCTGCTTGTTCTGTGGCGTAAAAGTCCGTACGTCAACGCAGGAGTCATTTTATCTCTTTATCTTTTCGCCTCGTGGCCAGGAAGCCCATAGGGCCTGATGTCAAACATGACACGGTTCCAGGGCGGAATATCTTGTACGATCTACATGATGATAGCGCTGGGTCTACTAATACTTCGTGAAATAGTTCAGAACTGTTGTAAGACGGTCTGCTGTTGGGCACGTGTCACTCGGCGAGAAAGCGTGTACACAGGCGAGTAGTTCGAGCAGTTTGTGGAACACTTGGGAACGATAAGCACGTGCATCGAACCACTTTGTGTTTGACCAGGTCCTCCAGCGTAGACGTTAGGTCTCCGCAACAGCATTCATGGATGGAGAAGATTCTCACTTTGGAGCAGGGGCATGGAATACACTGATGATGTACTTCCAAATACTTCGTCCTACCAGCAGTTTGGTTTCATGCAGGGAGTGGTATAAACACTGCTCATGGAAAAGCTAACAAATCATCTCATCAGCAGCAGCAGACTGATAGGGCCAAGGCGTCTTGGGCTAGGGTAGGATAATAGAAGAAGCATATCCATGCAGGGAATGCACCTCAATGCCAGGTGATTGCAAGTGTGATTCATGGCCTATCAAGAATTTCAAAGATTCAAGTGGCTGTCACATTGCATTCCTCCGGCTGTTTTACCGACATAGAAGAAGAACTTCTCCGTAGGAGAAGCATACACATGCAGGGCCTCACTTCTGTAGTTAGTGTGATGAGGTCACCGCAAAGTACTCAGTAATAGAAGTATCCTTGACACAAGGTTCAACTCGACTGATATTCTTGCCCTGTATGTCAGCATTTGGAACTTGCTAAAGTACAGATGTTCAGTTGGGGACTTCAGTCAACCAAATAACGGCGGCATGGTCAAACAGTGTACATGTTTGGGACTTTTTTCTAATGTGAAAATCTAAAAAGGCCAAAAGGAAATTTGTTTAGTGCATTTTTATTACATGCTGTAGATGCTGTACATGCTGTAGTTTGTAATAATTATTATAAGGCTGGGGACGTAGGCCGCGTAGAGATGGCACACACATTGGTATTGACTGCACCTCTAGAATGTGGTTCAGGGTATTCACTGGGACGCATGCTGCTGCTGCTGCTGCTGCCATAATGGAACTATGTTGTACAGACACTTGCTTGCATAGGCAACCAGCACCAGCCAGCATTATGATATACAGCAGTGCCAGTAGCATAGGCAGGCACCTCTGCATGGCAAGCTCTATGTATGGCGTGAAGGCATGCAGATGAGTAGATGAAGATGCTGTCATGACGAATGTACTTCAGTCTTGTACTGAGCTGCACGTCCATAGTCCGTATGGATGGACATTGCCAATCTGGTCAACTAGTCAACACCATCATCTCTTGGCGGAGGTGTTCAGTGTGTGGGTATTGCTATTAGTGAAACAGAAGCTTGGCCCACTTGGTGGGATGGAGAGGCAGCACTCCCAGCCACTCAGAGCTGGAAGAGCTGAGGGAAAAAGGTAACAGATTTCTCTCAGATTGAACTCTTTGGGAAACCCTTCTTACCAGCTAACTGACAAGGTGTACCATCTGGAGAGAATCACTGCAATGAATAGCTATATACTAGCTCCCATCCGGGCCTGGTCTAGACCTAAGCACCAAATCACTCTTGGGCATCCTTTCAAACAGGGAATTCTATTGATTTCGACTGTGTGCAATAGTGCACACACACACATACACATAAACACACACATCCACTCCTGCTGGGGCACAGTGCATGCAGGATGCTCAGTCTCCTCTCTTATTGGGTTATGACGGGGTAAAGTCCTGGCCAAGCATTCCAGCAGGGTCTTGTAGCTCTATTAGCTCTCATATGTTGTACAGTGCCATCTTGTGCCAGCACAATTTAACTAATGTTACTTTGATAGTATCAACGTTGCGAAATGGAGTTCAGAAACTACTCGGCCTGCTCATCTAAGCCAGTGGCAGTGTACCACCAGTCGTTAATATGTACCTGCTTCAGAGTACCTTGGAATGCTCTGCAAGCATTTTTCACGCTCACCATACATGCACATGCGTATTCGACAGTGATATTAACATGCCTGCATGCTTCCAAACGGTGTACACATGTATTTGATTGGGTATTTGTGTGCGTCTTGTGTGTGTGTGTGTGTGTGTGTGTGTGTGTGTGCGTCTTGTGTGTGTGTGTGTGTGTGTGTGTGTGTGTGTGTGTGTGTGTGTGTGTGTGTGTGTGTGTGTGTGTGTGTGTGTGTGTGCGCTTATGTACATTGTGCAGCACCATCAAAAACTGTTATCAACGTCGAGCAGGCAGAATGCCATCAGCACGAGGGATTGTACGTTCCTGTGAATGATACTACCACTGGACCAACAGGGCCGTCGCTGGCCTGGACGGACAGCAAGTTTATTGTGAGTTGATGAACATGTTCTACTGAAATTGATCATGTTCCAAGACTGTGTTGCTAAGTATGACAAATTCACGCTAGTGAAGTAGGGTGGTTAAAGAGTAGAGTGTACCGTAAATCATTAGGGTCTCTGTGTCCTCTTCAACAAGAATATGATAGAGAAGTGCCTATGGATTGCAAGGTTGTTGCAAGGTTGTCAATGTGTGCTTATGCTTGCATGTGTGTGTGTGCGTGTGTGTGTGTGTGTGTGTGTGTGTGTGTTCTGTGTGTCCAGACATGTCATGGTGACGAGGTGTGTTTGCCGGCAGGTGTGACAAATGAAGATTATCGCACAGTGCTCGGTTTGAGGAAGACGAGGCGGGCTCACCGCTGCAAGTGCTTCTCCGTCCGTGAGCCATGTCGTCCTGTCAAGCACATCGAGATCTTCTTTCCCAATACGCCATTCAGGACATGGGTTGACACAAAGCGCTGCGTTGGCTCATGTCCATCTTTAGGCCGCCGAGGATTGATCAGTCAATCTTGCCGACCCACCAGGACTCGTACCATCACAATTCCAGGTCCAAACGGAGCGCATTGTGTCAACATCACCCAAGAGTGTGGTTGTGCGCTGAGCTGCTATCGCACCTCATATGACATGATCTTCATCGAGCAGCAGACGGATGCCATTACAGGCCAAAAGACTTTTCGAAATCGGGTAAGCAAAAGCTGAGTTCACCTGTGTATCAGAAACATTTAGTCACTCTAGTAGATTTCAATCTGCGAACCTGTGTACCTTTCCCCTGTGTACCTTTCCCTCTTTCTCATTATGCATGTGGTACTGCATGGTAAAGTTTGAAAGCGGACACAAAACTTTCTCCGGCGGAATAATATGTCACTAACCATCAAACAAGACAAACAATAAGAGCACGGAAAAGTGTTTTAACTCTGAGTTGCACGCACGGTTAACGCGATCATCAGAAAACAGTAATGCAGTCACTAACCATCATCATGTTCTGCCATGCTATGTTTGCAGACGATAGATGTTGGCATCTGCCAAGGCTCATGTGCACAGCGAGTAAGAGAGGAGTGCGCCGAGAATGAACCCAATGGCAATGGCACAGCAATGTAAGCAACAGTCTCATGTCAGTGTTGTTGCCATGACAATGGAGGTTCTCCCCGACAGTACAAGTGCATGCTAGTAGCGGGGGGGGGGGGGGAGGAGGCTGAATGAATTCCTAGAGAGAGAGAGAGAGAGAGAGAGAGAGAGAGAGAGAGAGAGAGAGAGAGAGAGAGAGAGAGAGAGAGAGAGAGAGAGAGAGAGAGAGAGAGAGAGAGAGAGAGAGAGAGAGAGAGAGATGAGAGAGAGAGGCCGTGACCTCACTGATCCACGTGGATTGTCCGTTGTGCTTATTTCCTTCATGCAGTGATCCGGGACTCAAGAACCTTCTAACCGATGTCTGCGTTGGAAAGGTGAAAAACCTCACGGAGTGCGTGCCCAATATCGTGGAAACGGTTAGGTTCAACTCAACGAAAGGAGAAATTGAAGTGCCTATCATCAAGGACTGCACATGTGTACCACATGACCTATTGTAGCATGTGTCGCCAGCCATTCACACTTCACTCTGACATGCCATCAGCAACAGGCAAATACACCCCTCTGCCTCGTCTTCTTCCCCTCCTCCTCTTCAAGCCAGCAGTGAGGAGGCATGAAAGAGCAGGCAACTCACTATCTCTAGTGTGATGAGTATCCGCGGCGTCCTGCCCTCTGACATGCTCACTTGATCAACCTTCTGACGTTACTTTTTTTATTTGTTTAATATCACCAATACCCGTGCCGTCTCCGAAGCCGTCAGCTGCATTTGCCCACTTGCTATGTCAACCTTCACAATGTCGGACTATGACGTTTCTCACGCTTGACTTTTGATTTCTTTGATTCCCTCACTGAGACATTTTCACCACATTCCCACCGACCTTCAGACAACGGCCAGCATCACGAAGAGACCTAAATGCCAGAGCGAGTGCGCAACTCATCGGCAGCACGGCACACAAAAGCGGAAGTAATCCCACGCGGCGTATCGTCCCACGGCAAGAAAAGCCGGTGGCACACCACCGTATGCAACTGCACAGTTCAGAACTTCCTTCATGGGCCGTGGCTTTCATGATCTTGACCTCACGTCCAGAGTTGCAAATTCTGATCCATGCGCTCTCTTGCCAATGCAGTATTGATATTTTCCCCTTACCCCATTTTCCCCTTCACTGCGCAGCTATTCGCCCAGCTTGACTAGCCTTTGGATCACTTTATCTGGACGAACATAATCACAGAGCACGGTTTCTGACCATCAGCCTCACCATGCAAGTCACCAGGCACATGTATGCCTTCTAGCACTGGACACATTGCCAATGCAAATTCAAAGACCTATATCAGTTTTTTTTCTTTCTTTCATCTATCTTCTATTGTGTCCGTTCCTGCCGTTGCCCAGTCGGCAGCAAATGGCACAATTCATCATATGAAAGAGGCTCAATATTCACCTAAATCTTCTCGGCTGGCCCACTGTCATGTATTGCGTACCAGTTACGTAGTGTACTGTAATCCGCAGTGCAAATGAGTGCAAGCGCATGGGGGTGATACTCTCGCTACCCCGTTGCCAAGGAAACCAGTCCATCTGCCCCTCCAAGAATGCTAGGTAAGCGATCTACGTGCAAATGAAGACCACTGTGCTCACAGACATCGCCAAAGGAACATACAGAGAGAAATGAATAGCCCTGGACTGCATAGTCTTGGTGTTATACTGAAAGAATGAATAGCCCTGGATTGCATTGTCTTGGTGTAATACTGAAAGCCCAGGCACTCACCGGACCATCATTCAACATTATTATTAATATTTTTACTCCACAACAGAACAACAAGGACAATCAAGGCTTGTTTGCTGCTACTTAAGTAGCAGCACACAAGCCTTGATTGTCCTTGTTGTTCTGTTGTGTATTACGCTCTGCCTTTGTGATGTTGAGCACTGTCAGCACTCTGGGTACGTCCTTCGGTATTTTTACTCCACCACAGCCAGCAGGTGCTATGGCATCTCAGCGGTCAGTGACCACGCCCCAGAGCTGCAACGCCGGGCTGTCATGGACTTCTTTTTTTCTCTATCAAAATATCAATAATTGATCCCAGCACAGATTCGTATGTACCGGTACTTGTAGGAGAAATACATGTAGCTGCTCAATATCAACACCAGTTCAACACCAAGTAGAAGCCAGCGCAGGAAAAGATCTGATGGCTTGATGATGCTCGGGCAAACGACTTTCTTCCCGATTCTCGAACGAGGGAGCTGCACGACGGAGCAGGTCAGATTGCAGCAGACTAGTGCGTACTCACTTCAACGCAGGTGCACGCGCATGCCTGCGCCGCGCAGGCACGCATTCACACAGGCAAACCATGCTGGCAAGATACTGGCTGAGTGTTTGCGGGGCACATGCCAGTGGCTGCCGTCTTGACGTAAACGTGTCCTCCAGCAGACGCAGCAGCAGTAGCCGACGGTGGCAGTAGCCGAGAGTAGTGACGGTGTCAGATTAATACAGACATCCCTTTTGCGCAGGCACATGGACTAGGATGAGCCTTCCTCTCCTGCCAATCCTTGAACAGCTGTGCAAGCTCAACATGAGCCATGAGAGGATGGATGAGTGCATCACCAATGTACCGGTGGCGTACTCAAACAAGTGAGTGCTTGCAACACACACACACACACACACACACACACACACACACACACACACACACACACACACACACACACACACACACACACACACACACACACACATCCAGCTGGGTGAGACCATCACTGGATCTGGCTCTTCCTGAGAGTAGCAAAGGTCAGGTACCCAGTATGGCCTGGAACACGACCTGCAGACAGCGCAGTCCTGCATACTGCTGCCATGTTGGGCCCCGCATTCGCAACGCCAGCATTCCCATTCCCGTTGCTGGCACTACTAGATGCCATGCTCGAAGAAGGGGTAGAGTCTTCTGGCTGGTTGCCTGCTGAATCTTTCTTGGATTGCTGTTCCAGTCCAGGACTGCGAGTGGTACTGCTCTGCCGGCCGCCGCCATCACGGCCCTGGCCACCGCGACCCCTTCCCCGACCTCGGCCTCGACCAGCATCATTCTGACCGTTTGAATTGGATGACAATGACGACGGTTTTGAGTTGTCCATGATCTTCAGTTTCGTCAACTCCAACGCAAGCAGACGACCTTCTCCGAGCTTGCTACCTGCTGACTCCCCACCACTGCTTGCCACTGGCTTGCTTGCTGCTGGCGTAGTAGTCAGCTCTAAGGTGGATGATGCTGCAGTCGGGGGATCATCCGCTGTAACCGTTGACGTAGCACAGTCTTGACCACCAGCAGCAGCCTTCTCTCCTGCCACTGTATGGCTCACTGGTTCACTGGTGCTATCTACCTGCTGCACTGAAGATGACGACCTGACACCTGAACACACACACAAAAAAACACAACAAAGATCGTGTTGGCATGAAACAGAGGCTATCTTGCGAAATGTCACTGCCTCACACACGCGCTACACAATACACACTGAGACTGGTCCTTGCGCCAAACGAACCTGTAGCCGGTCTCTTCGCCACGGGTATCAGGTCCTCCTCGTGACCTCGCTTGCCTTGCCGCGTGCCAGAGTCCAAGTCAGTGGAACATGCAGATGATGACTGTACCGACGCAGTGCTCTGACTGGTACTGTTCTCGGATGCAGATGATGACTGTGCCGACGCAGTGCTCTGACTGGTACTGTTCTCGGATGCGTCTACGGTCACCGTGCTGGGTGTGGATTGAGATGCTGACGCTCTGCTTGTGCCTTCACTGTCAATGGCCACCTGGCCACGAGCAGCACTATCTTCTGTACTCTGAGCACTGCTACTATCTCCGGCAGTGGCCCTCTCTCCCTAGAAAAGAGAAGAAATCAGAAACACACGGCAAAGTGCCAAACAAAACAAAAAAACTGAATATTCCTCCACTTCTTCAGTAACATCCACTTTGCAAGTAAGTCAAGCCTAATACATGTACCAATGGTAGTGAAAAGCAGCAAAGGTACCAGCCTGCCACAAACTTGCCAATACCAGTCCTGACGAATGCTACATGCACGGAATTTGGCGTTGGGGCAAACTGCTCCTGTTCATTGCAGTGCTAATTCAAGTACTCTAATTTCAGAAATTTTCGGTGCTCAATATTTTCGGTATGATGGCAACAGGCTAGGTTAGGAGAACAGAAATTTTCGGTACAGAGAAGCAGTTCCCTATTGGATTATGTGTGTTCGTGTTTGTTCGGTGTATTGAAATTTCAGGTATGAAACAGACGCACCGGAAGTACCGAAAATAGAAGTACACCGAAAATTCGTGAAATGACAGTAGCTTGTCAATAGATGTACTTGTACAAACAGGCCAGCATCACCTGAAGCTGCGACCAGCAAGCGGTACTGTGGCCACTGCAACACCAGGCAAGTGAATATACCATGCTCTTACTGGCAAGCGAGTGACAAGACGACGGCAACACGTGAAGTTAGGCTCTGCCAAGTAGACCGTTGTAGGCTGCAGGTCACGGGACAGGCATTCGAACGTCTGGATATCTAGAGAGCAGAGAGTGAAGCAGAACATAAACACCATCTCATTGCACTGCATGGACATTCGTGATCGGAGAAATTCTTAAGATTACATTCTCCTGGTTTCATTCCACACCATGACTCTACTAGAGCACAGCTGTGGTACGCAGTAGCATCGATCAACGACATCAAGTCACACATGAAACTGCAGTTTAGGAAGAATTGCACGCTTTCTAATCTGGTTTCCTTGACGCGCCCTCCCCGCACCCTCAAGGTCAAGTCTCAACGCATGTAATATGGCATGATTGGCAATCTTCATGTTTCCTTATTGGAGTGAGACACTCACCTGGGACACACACGCACAGAGTCTTGCTCGAAGTAACAAAAACCAATACAGGTGAAATCCTGATAATTCGAACCTCAAAATGCCAGGAAAAAACTTCTAATTATCCGGACATTCTATTTATCCAAACATGAACCGACAACACAATATGTATGTCAAAATGCTCTCATGGTCACGCAGAGTTGCGCTATGGACCTTAGACACAGATTTCACGGATACTGAACTGACCGGCATAGCCTGCTCATGCAAACTGAACTGACCAGTACAGTGTACAGTAAACTTTGAATTACACTTTGCTAACTTCGAATTATCAGCACAAATCCCACACATTTTCTATGTAAGTGGAATCTGTGGGACTTCTAATTAACCGGACATGTCCAATTCGAGGTTCGAATTATCAGAAAATTTTACGTGGGAATCGTATTGATAGAAATCGGTCCTGGAAAAACTTCTAATTAAGCGGTATGTTCGAATTAAGCCATATTCGAATTATCAGGATTCCACCTGTACTAGTAGCCTCTGCCCGTAAGCCTCTGTGGGCACCCAGCGGTTTACCGAGCTCCACTTGTGTTATAGTTATCTTTTACCAGATGAATAATCTACTATTATCCATAACATACCGTAGATGCACTTCAAAATAAATAATATTTTGTGCATTGCAAAGCCGCCCTTATTCTGCAACGTGTAATGACTCCGCTCGTCAATTGCCCAGAGTCTGCTGATACAGTGGCACTACGGCCACAACAGCGGTACAATGTATCATTTTTTGCCATCGAGTATGTCTTAGCATGTTCATGCTCCAGGTCTACAGCAATTTGAAGTGATCTTTCAGAACCCTGTGGGTCATGCCATGTTCCTGTGTACTTGTAACAACGAGCAGGAAAGAAATACTGTAAAACTTGTAATTCGAGGTGTATTCAGATTTCGGTGTCCGGGACCTGCCAGGTTTCAGGTGTAATGTAGAATCAGGTGACCAGCATTCCATTCACATACAGTGCAGACTCTAGTGCCTTTAGGTGTAATCTAAAAATTAGGGGCCTGGTTTCTCTACTGAAATCACCGAAATCAAAGTTACACCGAAAATGATGTGTACTATGTTACGTAGTACGTACCATGAAAACCTTGGGAATGCAGAGCAGCACACGTCTGCTGGGTCTGCTCAATGCAAGGCGAGAATGAGCAAAGTCTGCCGCACTCATTCTAAGTGCACACACAGATGAAGGTACACACCCACACACACACATGTGCATGTGCATGGAAGCACGAACAAACGCACACACGCAAGCATGCATGTGCGCACAAACACACACACACACACACACACACACACACACACACACACACACACACACACAATTACTATCAGGCTCCACATGACATACATACGCACAGGCAGGCAGAAAGAGACATTATACTAATAACCAGTGAAATCGAGATGGATGAATGAGCCAGTGAAATTGGTATGTATGGATACGACAGCGGTGGGTTCATTTCATTTCAGCCTTGCATACCGGTATCTTTGCAACAGCTGCACGAAAATCCATGGCCCTATACCCATGGACTGGATATACACCCACACCATGCACACATACCCTCCCGTAGCCACGATAGTGGACAAGATCCGAATGAAACAGATCAAGACTAATGCCAGATATCTGCCTAATCAATACAATTGGCGAAGCCATGTGAATCGACCACCAGTGCACACCTGGTTTACACCACACGGAGTGCATCGGAACAGGACCGCCAAGACAGTTACCTACGCACGCTCACTTGCTGGGGTAATCAGTATAGACAGCACGCTGCTTTGACAGAGGCAGAAGCTAGATGCACTGGTACCACACGCACACACGGATACACACACACACACACACACACACACACACACACACACACACATTCATGCCGTGACTGCCATAGACAACAATGTACCTTTAGGACTTTGCGAGCATGGACAATGGCCTTCTCAGACATGGGAAGATCCAGCACCACTGTTGAAAGAGGAAAAAACCCAAAACAAGACAGGAGAGGTTCGTAACCATAACACATCACACACATACATAGCATACATAACAACGTGCACACAAAAGTACTGTACTCACTGGATTAGAAGCCCCTCTCGAATAAACGTCCCCATGCAACGACCGCTTGAAATACATGTAATACAAGCCCCTCTCGAATAGGCGCCCCTCTTGAACAGAGCCTCCTCGAAATAGGCATTGAAAACTAGAAGCCCCCCGCTTCTAAGCGAGCGAGTACGGATGTGCACATACACACTGTGGAGTGTCGATAAACTGACCAGAGCACAGCTACCAGTGCCCACTAGCAAACAGCAACTCAAACACAGAGGTGTCCCGTGAAAATAGGATACCAGCCCCAGGCACTGACACACTCCAGGTCCTCGAAATAATGCCATGGGGATGCATGTTGATGGCAACATGTAGCTATGCATCCTGTGCGCCATTTGAATGGTGCTTAGGTTGGATAAATCAGGAAAAAACTCTTAACGTGCCTTCAATTCAGTGCAAACAGGTACAGTAAAACCTGGTTTAAGCGACCACCCCACGGTGCAAGCAAAAGCGGTCGCTAAAGCCAGGTGGTCTTTAGAACCAGGTGCCACAGTGTTTGTGTAGAACTGCCGGTGCATGGAAAACGGTCGTTAAGAGCAGGTGGTCGCCAAACACAGAGGTCGCTTACACCAGGTTTTACTGTATTTCGGATAATGCATCGTTTGGATAGTTGATATTTATTATTGCGGGAGTTGAAGAAAACGTCTGAAGAAAACGTTGACTGTTACCACCAGGACTTGAACCAGGGACCTTTGCTTGAGGCCAGCGATGCTCTAACTACTGAGCTATGGTGTAGCTGTCATCCCAGCAGAGACCATTCAACATTTTTTTTCTTCAGACTTGGATAGTGGACGTTCGGAAAATCGGCTTTCCAGTTCCTACTGTACTTGACGGTCCACCCAGTACAGTGGCACTGCACTGGACTCTAGTAAGCACGTCTTTATCTTACCTGCATCAGCCACATTCTCCAGGAAGTAGCCATTCTTCAGCACATCGTTGAAAGTCACGGTGACATGCTCACCGATACCGTGATTATCAAACTCTTTCCTACAGTACACAATAACACACAGCACACATGCAGAACACACCAAGAGCCACACTTGATTTAGCTACAGTCACGGACGATATTAGTGTAGATTGCAGGCTACTAACACCAGAGACACATTGCTTCCAAGCTCCCATAGTTGCTGTACGAGCATGGTCATTGCAATGACACAAAGTCTAAAGCTTCCCGTGTGCATGTACAGTAGTCAGCGAGTTTCGCCTGTACAGCAAAGCAACGCACACAACTTACCTTGCCTCCTCCGCACGCTTCTTGTGGAACTCGTACGTAAAGAGATGACCAGTTGGCTTGACCGCACGGATCAGTGCATGAGACAAGGAACCACTACCCGTACCTACGTACACAATCAGACACAAGTACGTGCACAGTTAGAAGACAACTTTTTAAACAGAATAAGGAAGGCATTGCAGTGGACATGCCTCTGCAGCATGATGCATACACAGTACACAGTATACTTCAAAGTACATCAGTACATGTAGTGAGCTAGAATCAGAGATCTCCAAGTACAGCTGTATCTAAAAAATAACGTCACGGTTCGTGTGAGACCCAGTTGGACTGTGTTTTCCACTTCGGTAGGAACGCCACCGCCCTCAAGAATCAAGGCGCAGACGCAGCTCCTAGAGGCGGTGTACAGTACATGTATGTCAGACGATAATTACAAGACAAAGTCAGAAACTGAAACGCGTTTTAAACACGAGGACGGTGTGAAAATGATCAACATCACTCACCTGATTCGAAGACCACCTTCCCCGGTTGTAGCTGAAGCATAGTGATGATAAAGCTGATGTCATGTGCGTACAGTACTTGTGTGCGATGTGTCAAGTTGATAGTCCAGAGTTCCGGTGTCAAGCGTAACGCGTGTACGTAGCCACGCGCGTTCATGGTCAGAACCTAGTCACCAGCGGCAAGCAGCAACAATACAATAATACAGCGATAATCCAATCAGAAATGGTCAATGGACATCTCCGTGTGCATACTCTGGCGCACGATGTGCCTGGACAAACGGAGCTGAAGATAGAGTACGATGATATTGCTCTCTCTCTCTCTCTCTCTCTCTCTCTCTCTCTCCCTCTCCCTCTCCCTCTCCCTCTCCCTCTCCCTCTCCCTCTCTCTCTCTCTCTCTCTCTCTCTCTCTCTCTCTCTCTCTCTCTCTCTCTCTCTCTCCAGACACACTGCACTTGCTTATACACGCACATTTGCAAAGTCAAAGCATTACCTTGCAGCCATACGGCCGGCCAATCAACGAGTTGTGCGGCAGAGCTCCGAACGTCGTCTGAAGGACTTCGCCATCGCGTACCGTCAGTGCTTGTTGCTTCTTGCTTTCCTGCAGAAGAGAACATCATCAGACGAAACACCATCAGAATGTTCCACTAATAGCACAATGTACAAATAGGCAACTCCATCATAACGTTCCACTAAGAGCACAATGTACAAGTAGGCGCCAGTGCTCAGTCTACCTGAAACTCGTTATCCCAGGCCGACTTCACATTGCGCGCAGACGTACGGTACATATTGAGGAGGCTCCAACCCACAGTGGTTACCTCTGTTTTGTAGATGCATGTGCTCCCTACTTCCCCAAGAAACTCCTTACATCATTTCAGGTGAAGTAACCGACATGATAAGGCTGTTTGGGGTGGGTTTTTACATTTTAGGGATTTGTATCTTTTTATCAATTATTTTGGGCAGGAATTGCATGTTTTAGAGTATTCTCCAAAAAACTATTCCCTCAACCACTATCACAGGGCAACAGTACCGATATGATCCAAACATTTTCTTGTGGCACTCATCAGGAATCAATCACCACGATGGGGAAAAATCAGTGCGCGCGCGCTCAACCATCCCAGGAGCAACAGCTCAAACCAAACCCAATGTACGACCCTCCACTCTGAAGGGAAGTGTGTCTTCTCCTGGTGCAGGGGCCTCGCTTATTCTTCTCGTGCTAGACAGCCCCCCCCCTGGTCAAATGCTGAGACAGACACATGGCTGACCCCTGAAGCGGTGAACCTGTACACCCAGTTGAACCCACGTGCACTGTGTCGTGGGAGTACAATACACGGCCAAAGCCAGTGCATCCCAGTAGCCATCTCCCCAACTGGACACATAGCAGCAAATGTCCAGGCAGTTCACACACAGCAACAAGCCAAGGACACACAGCCTGTGACAGGCACATGCACGCAAACTCCATGAGTATCCAGCTCTGTGTACAGGCATACTGGTAATACTTACGAGTTGAATAATGACCGTGTCACCATTTCTGATGATGTCGCAGTCATCAAACTGTCCACCTGACACACTCTCCATCGCCATTACACATGTGAGCTATGCAAACAGCAAGCCAGAGAACAGAGCATAGAAACCCAGGACATGGATCACATACACTGGTACATGCACTTCCCCTATATGACTTTATGTACTCTATTTAAAATACACGTGTAATTAATAAATAAAAAATAATAAATTTCACGGTTCGCGTGAGACTCGGCTGGAAGCCGAGTTTTCCGCATCCGCCGTGGGAACGCCACCACCCTCTAGGATCAAAGGCGCAGATGCAGCGCCTAAACGGTGGGAGGTGAGTAGATCAGACCCACCACCAAGTGGTCAAAGACCAAAGTCCCATTAGCTGCATCCATGTTACCCTCGTGCCAGGACACGAGTTCCCAATTAACTGTGGGTCGCAGCACGGCTGGAAAAATTCCTTCCGCTTCCAAGCAGGACTTGAACCTGGTACCCTCTGTTTCTCAATCATGGTCTTAGACCATCCCACTATGCCTGCCCGGTACACGTGTAATTCAATTTTTTAAATGCGAACTTAACAGGACCAACATGTATAGGTCAGTGGTGCATGGGTCTGCTTACAGATAGCACGATCTAGTGCTCGGTGCATGGCCTAGTAGGGGAGTGTAAGTAAAAAGTAAAGTTGGCACATCCGTGTCACCACAAGCTATACAATCGTGTTTAGAAAGACAACCAGCTTAAGTTGTGGGGCCGTTCGGAGCTATCTATTGTTTTTGGTTTTTCAAAACATTTTTTAGGAAAATTTCAGCCCCACCCACCCAACCAAGGTAAAAAGAACTTCAACAAAAATTGATTCAATCTTAGGGCATGTTCGATTGGTAAGGATCGGGATCCAGATGTCAGATCCGTCGGATCCTTCAGATTCAACTGAACACTTTATTTTGGACCTTGACTGTTGCCACGTTGACAATGGCGGTCACAAGTCACCCAAAAGGGTGAACGTCGTACTCATCGCGTGCATCGTACAAAAGTCAACAAGCTCTATTTCCATCCACGTGTGCGTACCACAATGTGTACAAAAATGATTTTTACCCGCCATATACGCACAAAGGTCACATTTGGATCCGGTCAACCCTGCTCCCCGCTGTGGGTTGAACGGATCCAAATCCGAAGGATCCGGATCCGAATTCGACCAATCGAAAGGGTGCGAATCCAGTGGATCCGGTGGATCGGGATCCCGATCCTATCAATCGAACATGCCCTAAGGCATCCAGTAGCACTGGCAATTTTTCATGTGCCTTCAGTGCAAAACAGAACTCCTAAAACCCACCCACTAGTGCACTCCCCAAACGAAAACTTTCCATTTTGAAAAAAAAAAAGGAACCATGGGGAGTTTTTAACTGTATATGTATCTCCTGTAAACATCGCCCAGCCAACACTGAATACGTGGCAAAGGTGAACATGATATACGTATGTCTCTGAAGATTCATTGAACGAATTACAATGTAGAATGTACCACAGCTAACTTGTGTGTTTTCACCTTTGTTTGTCAACATGATAATTATAATGTACGTCTCTGAAGATTCATTGAACGGCTTGGAGAGTACTGCAGCTAACTTGTAGTGTGTTCACCTTTCAATACATCAATAATAGCAATTACCTTCAAGATACAGAAGAAGTAAAGGACCCACAGGTGCTTTCACGAAAAATTTCAACGAAAGTAGACGCGAAGGCAACAGCAACAATTGAACGCCAATTCTGTCCTGCTAACTACTATCTGGGTGTAGGACAAACATCTCTTCAAAACCAATAATTACTACGTCCAGCTATCTACTAATAATACTTTCTATGCACGTAGATCTACATGTACCAATTCCATGTCCTGAGAAACTAGAAATCCAACCCAGAAACTAATAATAATTTTCTGGACACGATTTTCAGCGACCCAGTCTACGTTCCCATGGGGATAATGGCGTCAAAAGGTGCACGATCCTCACGATCCGGCCGGCCGGTCAGGTACATTTCGAAAAAAATTAATGTCAATTTTGAAGTAAAGTTAGTTGAAGATTGATGCACTTTGCATTATTTGTTGCTTATGTTTGCTGATATTCAAGTGAGTGCTGTACACAGCAGAAAGATTTTGTGTGCAATGAGGATCTGTCCCACTTGAGGGATCGCACACAGTTCTTACCTAGTATCCAAAGCAGTTGCCGTGCAGTGATCTGGTGGGACTGAATTTGCTTCTGAAAAAGAGTACGTCGACGCTGATGCCCGGTTTTCAAGTCTTGCAAGTAGGATATCATCTCCATTAGGTCCAGTTACATACGCTTGAGGCGACCATGGGACGGCTAAGTCGATATCGGAAAACAAAAGCGTGCGATCCTTTCAACACGGCACCAAACAAGCTTGTGCAGTAAGTCATTTGATTGGAATGTATCTACGCACTCAATCACCGGCTCTTAGTTAGCTGCACTGAATTCTGATTACAAGAAATTGCCACAAAATGCCAATTGGGCATCATCAAAGCGTAGCTATGCTAGTGGCGGAGGCAAACGGGGACATAATTTGCACCTAAAGGAAATGGTCCTGAATTCACGCCGTGTTTTCACGTACTTGGTACCGGAAACAGTACATGTACAACACGTTCAGGGCGGCCAAATATACACCCATGGGCGAAGGTGCAATTTGTAGTTCTGCCATAATTACTCCTAACTTTGACGCTCACACGTATCCTGATCCCAGGCTGTTGGGATGTCGAACCCATCATACCATGCATCAGAGAACAGAATCAGTGTACTCGTGATTGTCTAGAAGTACAGTACAACTGCCTAGATCCGGACATCCCTAATCCGGGCACGTCCGTCTACCAGGCATCTTTCTGACCCATCTAGAGTCATAAAAATGACTTTTAATATGCAAGTTCTGAGTCACGGGCTAGTCACAGGTAGTGCTCGGTATCAACCTGCCTGGATCTGGGGAGTTTTACTGTACTGAAGATGGCGATTACAGACACGGCCAGTGAAATTCATCCCCACTATTGGGGATGAATTACACACAGTCCAGTGTCCATAGTGCTACAGGCATCCAGCGCTACTTGATTCCACTGGCTAGCATTGGGTGTGTAAGTGCCATGTGGCCCAGTCCAGTGGGAATGTCAGGTGATGATGGCTGCAACTTGATGAACTAATCCAGTCACAAACCAGGCACGTTGAAGATGTTGAAGATGCTCGGTGCTCGGTAATGGAATCGCCTGGGAGCCTTCGGCACCATCGCTCTTGCGTCTCAGTAGTGCTTAGCAACATACCAGTCCTAGTGTTAGGTGCAAGGCATACAAGTGTGTAAGATGCAAGGCATACAATAGACATCGCCCTTGACTGAGTACCCCCCCCCCCCCCCTCATTCACTGGATGAATACTTCCTTGCCATGAAGTCAAGTAAAGTAAATACATGTACGTAAGTAGAACACAATAAATTCACCCTACTAGCATCCCAAGGCATGGCACACTTTGGCCAATCAGTCTCTCTCTCTCTCTCTCTCTCTCTCTCTCTCTCTCTCTCTATCTCTCTCTCTCTCTCACACACACACACACACACACACACACACACACACACACACTCTCCCTCTCTCTCTCTCTCTCTCTCTCTCTCTCTCTCTCTCTCTCTCTCTCTCTCTCTCTCTCTCTCTCTCTCTCTCTCTCTCACTCATACACACACACTCTCTCCCTCTCTCTCTCCCTCTCTCTCTCTCTCTCTCTCTCTCTCTCTCTCTCTCTCTCTCTCTCTCTCTCTCTCTCTTTCTATTTCTATTTTTTCCACCTGTGCTTGCTGCGTCTCATGGGGCATGGATGTGCACTGCTAGACGAGCGGACCAACATATCCTTCAAAACGATGGTCCAGATAAAAATCAAGACAGCAGGTCCACAGCAACAGGTTGATAAAAAGTCACAATGGCATGCTTGGAGACAGGATACTTTGCTCCGTTGTTCAAATGTACTCTATCTGATACTTCTGAGGATGCTATAATTATGAATGCGTGACTTGTGGATACTTTCTTATCTACTGTCCCGATTGCGAACATAATACAGGTTGTGTTGAGCAGGCTGTGCAGTGGTGCGGATTAGTGGGTTGTCTTTAGGGGTCGTCGCAAAAGTTTTTTGTCGTCCCTGAAACGAACATGATTCATTTGGGGGGGGGGGTGCGAGCCAAAATCGCAAGTCGACCGACACTGTACATATGACATGTACATGAATGCGATTTCCGTCGTCCAGCATAGCAAGCTGTGTTCGTTTCAGAGGGAGGGGAGGGGGTCCGAGTACGAAATGAACGATGTTCGTTTCAGGGACGACAGAAAACTTTTGCGACGACCCCTAAGTAGCCTGTATAGTGACAATGCCTTTGAGTGAGTTCTGTTGTTACATGTGTTCTGCGCTACAGTCTCGACAAAGCACCGTCCAAGAATGAGCTGGACCAGGACGTGCAGCGTGCACCAAGGGCGTTTCGGCACATGATGAGCCTGACGAAGCGTGCAGAGCGTAGAGATGCGCAGAAGAAGGCGGCGCGACAGGGCAAAGCCACCGGGCACCCAGCTCAAGGTAGCCAAGTCTTATCCTGTGTTGATCCGGAGCAACCTGCTTTGTATAGCCTGATAGTATACTGTATGCCGTATATACTATGTATGTACACGTGCTACCTAATCATCATACCACTGTAACAACGCTTTGTGCAACGGATGGCGGTTTCTCATGCTTTGCGCACCCTTTGCGTGGCGTGCTTTACACCTTCATGCAGCATGGAAGAGACGTGCTGTGGAAGATGAAACGTTTTAAAAACATTATGCTTATGTGCTGTAGTGGCCAATGGGAATGTTGTACTAGAACTGAAAATGTAAAAGCCTTGTTAGGCGAGTAACGACTACTTGAGTCGCATACTTGCATCTTTGCTGCCTACATGCGTCTGTACATGATGTGTTTTTGGATCTGTTGGCTTTCTCTTACTGCTGCTGGTGCTGCTTCAGGGAAACCAGGAATGCCGGCCAAAAAATCGAAAAAGAAAGAAGATGCAACTAAGAGTGGCGAGTCGTCCCAAGAGCCAGAGAAGAAGAAGACGCCAGCGCAGACCTACCCACGTATGCCTGGCGAGTCCGATGCTCATTATCTGAGCCGTATAGACCAGGAGGCAGCTGAGAAAATGCTGAAAGCCAACAGGGCCCTGAAGCCAATTGCGGAGAAGCGGAAAAAGTGAGAGCGTGACTTGGCTTGACGTCACGTCGTAATTTGTTTGTGCATGCGTATGCGTGCGCACCCGTGTAGGTATATATGCTCTGGAGATTTGAAGTGACCATGTCCAGTTCCACTGTCTCTCTCTCTTCTCTCTCTCTCTTCTCTCTCTCTCTCTCTTCTCTCTCTCTCTCTCTCTCTCTCTCTCTCAGATGTTATACAAGTATATAAAGATGGTGTATTTCGGCCTGGCCTTCTCACTGTCCATACTATCTACTTCTACTTTTCTTCGCATTTGCAGGTACTTGACCAGTAAGAAAAAGGGAAAGAAGAATATCACAGAGGAAGGAGTGAAGGAGTTTGCTAAGACAGGTAGGGTTCCAGTATCACTGACCCGCGGTGGCATGAACTGCTTCAGGCTTGGATACTTTGACTGACATCTATTCGCTTCTCTACACCGGAATTATTGCAGACTCTGACAAAGCCCATGTCTCCGCCGGGTTTCGCTGCGAAATAGTGAGACTGTTCTGGCCTCCAGGCCGAGCATGCCCTGGCCAATCTTGTTCTAGGTTGTACCGGCTTTGCTTGTGTGAGGATTTCATTGAGTTTTTTTTCTTCAAGTTTATGATCGTAGCTTACTTTTCCTGTTGATCATGTTTGTATAGAGCGGGTTCGCTTTGGAGATGTTGTTCAGCAACCACCGTCACTGTCGTCCAAGCCGCGGAAGGCACCAGAACAAACGTCAGCTAAGGTTAGGAATGCGCTCTTGTCTCAATGCCCTGTGCAGCACTCTGCTGTGTTCGTTTAAAAAAATTGTTTGGTGTCGTCTTCCCTCTCCCGTGCCAGCATAGGTGTGTGTGTGTGTGTGTGTGTGTGTGTGTGTATGTGTGTATGTATGTGTGTGTTGGGGGGGGGGGGGGGGGGCTCGTTCAGGCTTCCACAAAAAGCAAAAATTCCAGTCGTATTTAGGGCGTATGACGCCTTCGAGTAGAAATGTTTAAATTATGTTTTAACCACACCAGTCAAAGTGACTGGCATGTACGTCTGTACGCGCCTGATATGCGCTGAAATTACAACATGTTGGAATTTCCATTTCGGCGCGTTTCCAAACTACACATTATGCCCCAAAATTAGGGGTGAAAGTTGGCACTGAGATCCCGAGTTCGAGTACTCTGATTTTCTCCGATCAAATATTCGAGTATTCTTGATATCCTAAAAATCGCACACCAACCGCCTTAAAAATCACATGATACAACCCTGATTGAACCGATTGGCAGTTCTTTTTGCCGGGTGTATTGGTTGGTGGGTCATTTGGGCTCTCTCGACTCGTGTACAAATGTTCATCACACAGTCTGCACATCAATATCTGCTGACTGCTGCTCTGAAACTGCAGACTTCTGCGGTAAATGCATGTACCATGTATGAGCGAATACTCTGATCTATTCCGAGTACGATTATATTTGAAAAATCCAAACGAGTATTCGAATATTCGGTATAATTGTTTCACCCCTACCCAAAAGCCAGCGAGAATACACACAAACGCGTGGTTTCATGCGTACACGCGCCAGTTGTGAAGACAGCTTTACTGTTACACTGCCATCACAAAAAAACCCTTGAAGCATGTAGACAATGCTCGTGTCTACAGTTGCGCTCGGTGAAATCCGACCCAAAGTGCAAAGCTGGCTGGCAAAGCCCTGCAGCCCTGCAGATTACAGCACTGTAATTGTACATGTGTTCGTCAAGCAGCATTCATTCCATTTCCAGCGCGTCAAGGGCCGTGCAAGTTCAGGCCGCCGAATATGCACTCGGGGTCGGATTTCACAGAGCACAACTGTACATGCTGCATGCTTGATGTTGATACAGTGGTCCCTCTATAATCCGGCACCATTTGTGCCACGGAAATCTGCTGGATTAGGGAGGGTGCTGGATTAGCAAATCGGATTTACTGCTGCAATGTGCATGAAGAGTACATTTTGGCTACTGAAAATTGTGCTGGTTTATCGAGGGTGCTGGTTTATAAAGTGCTGGATTAGAGAGGGACGACTGTACAAGTTTCTGTACTGTTGCTGGACTTCTCTCCATGCAGCTTGTCAGTAGCATGAAGCTACCACCCGGTGCAACAGCAGGAACAGCAGCAGCAGGTGGGGATGATGACGGAGAAACCTCTGCCACTGCAGCCCCACCAAAGGCCAGGGTGGATCCTAAACAGAAGGCTGGTGCGCCCAGCCCAAAGAGCATCAAGTGCAAGAAAAGCAAAGACATGACGCCTCATGAGCGCGAGCGTCTCGAAGCAGTGCGCGCCAATGCCATTCAGCTCTATCGGCAGCATAAGAAGCAACAGCTCGAGCAGCGTGCATCTCATCGCTAGAAACACGTGTGGGCATGCTGCTTTCTTTCTCTCACGCTATATTGTACACTAACTGTTGGTAACACTAACAGGCTTATACATACACTGTAAATATTCTAGCCACGCTGGCTGGCCCTGCTCTTTGTCATTTTGTACAGATTTGCTTTTCATTTAGACCTTGTGTACATACTATGTACATACTACTATGTAGATTTCCGTGTAAATGTTCCTACGCAGGTAGTTAGCTGCCACCCGATCTGTACATGAAAATTAATTATTTATTTAGTCAATCAGTCTGTTTTTTCTCTCTCCCTCCCCTGTATGTAGCAACACAGCTGCCAACAGTAAGACTTCTTAACCTTGTATAGAGTTATACAGCAAATTCTGCTGCAATGTAACTCTTACTGGCGCAGTAACGTGCCAGATATACTATGCCACGGAACACAGCGTGACGAAGTGTACTTGTGATCAGGGAGTAGTAACATACTATATTACAGAGGATTAGCAAGACGAAATTCGCGTTCGCGTTCGCAAACATTAGAGAGGTTAAGTTTCACGTAAAAGTCTTACGTCCGTGAACTTTTACGTCAAAAAGTGAAAAAACTCACGAAAAATTTGACGTGTTTTACGTGAGTTGACTGTCCCGCACGTTAGTTCATGACGTGAGTTTTTGGAAGTTTCGCTTGGTTATCCCGACCGAATTTGTGTGAGTTTCCGGAATTTTATCGAGATTTATCAAGTTTGTTGGAAGATTTGCTATTTGTGCGAACTAAACCCGAATCCTGCCAGGCAAAAACGTGTAACTTAACCTCTCTATTTTTCAGTTAGCGAACTGGATTGCGAACTTTCACATTTTTCGTTCGGAAAAGTAGTCGGAACACGAATCGCGGATTCGTGTCAGGACAGTCATAAATTTACTACGCTATACTGTCTGCAGATTCTGCACACAATGGACGACGTGTCAACGTCATGTATTTGCGAAGTCTGTTTGCTAAATCTCATAACGCGAATTCCGTCACTGAGTTCGACTTTCCTTGGAGAGCGAACGCGAACGTGAATTTCGTCTTGCTAATCCTCCGTATTATCAGTTTACTTCTGCCTGCTTGTAAACCAGCCAGGGCAAACTCCAGTCCCTGGGTCTACAATGCGTGAGATATTATTATTAAATTTTGAATAGGGCAGTCCCACAGGCCTTGGGCCTTTTTACAGGGTACCCTATGAATTGTTGAATAGATGAACGATAATATTATGTTTGTTTGCAACATGTAGGTGACTGAACCTGAAATTTTCGAACTGTTCTTTTTGAGTTCCGTTTTCTTCAATAAGTGGGGTGCCATTCAAGCCCCTTTTTTACACTGAAACTCAGACGTATAACTACTACCAAGAGTACATAAACCGTTTATGTACTCTTGCTACTACTACTGTAGTACCAAGAGTATAATACCCCCCCCCCCCCCATATACTCTTGCTAGTACTGTCAAGAGTCCATAAACAAAACTGTTTATGCACTCTTGGTACCGTACATAATTATACCCGGTATAATGATGGATGTGTTCAGGAGTAGTGCTTGGAATATTCCCTGCGAAAACTATCTTTCACGTGCATCTCTTGTAGAACCTACGACTGAACTGGAACTGGGCAAATTGATTTTCTACGACCAAGGACAACCCAAACAAAATAAGTGAACATGCCACGGGGACATCAATTTTGAAATGGGAACCAGGAAGGGAGTAAAACACTTCTCCGATCATACCGTAACTCGATTGCACCCTAATTTTCAGTTTCAGTGTGTTCACTTCAGAACAAGCAAGTCACAACCCAATGAAGTGAAGTGCAAAAATATGCGACTTTAATATGTTCAGGGAAATGCGTTACTACCTGTACTACACCTGAAAGACGAGGAACAAGAAATTAGAAAGCTGTCGAAAGCAACCTCGCCATAATAATTATTGTGAAGCATTGAGGAGTCTTCTGGACTTTCTGTATTTCTGTTCTTCCACGTGTCATACAGTCATGATGCAGAACATTGATCCAGCGAGAATCATAGAAAAACTGATGACCAGACAGTACACATGGGTATGCAGTCATGTATCTGTACAATGCTAAGTAAAGTAGGAAACAGATAAGTCCTGCTGAAGTACATATTATACTCCAGCTGACGGACAGGGGGGGGGGGGGGGGGGTTAGAAAGCCACAGAAAGCTTGGGCACTGCTGGGAAGAAACAAAGCGACAAACAGTCCAGCGAGGGGTGTGCTAAAAGGGGCTTGCTAGCCGTCTGCCAGTGTATACGAAGGGGCTGCTTGCACCGACAATGCTTGTCAGAAGCACACAGTTGTTACACTAACTAGAATAGTGACACTAGACTTGCTGGTGCTACACCGTGCTCGAACGGCGGCAAGGTTATCATTTACCGGTACTAAAAAAAGAGAGAAAAGAAACGCAACACGTGACATAACATTAACACAACCGTATGCAACACTGCGGTCACGCACGTCCCAGGTGCAATGCCATGACAGACACCCACCCTCGGCAACCAAGGGCTGAAGCAGACTAAAGAACTGTCCGGGAGCTTCTCCACACACGATACGACACATGAACAGTGGTTTCCTGGCCAGGGAGGTTGTTCCCCACACTCATCACACAGGATACAGCGACCAAGGCCCGTCCAGCCATCCTGCAACTACTAGCCGAGTCCAATTCAAGTACGGAAAAAAACATGTTCACGAGTATCTCGCAGTCGCCCGGGGTCCTTACAGTTATCTTGTCCATGCACACGTGATATGGCAGATGAGAATGGAATGCAAAGAGGTGGATCTGGAATAATCTCTCTCAAAATACACACTCTTGATACGACTGCCCGATGGCCATCTCTCCTTGTCTTCCAGTCTCCTCAATTGCTGGCCTCCATGTGGTAGAATCTGCACTCGGGTCTCTGGCACCGACCTCGTTGATAGTCGCGGCAGATACGTACTGCCTTGTTGTCCACAGTAACATGGTCTATGGGAGAGCAATTAAAGAGGACAGCAGAGAAGAATATTAGTTGCTTTATACTCAAAATACCCTCACAGGACTTCAGCAAAAGTACAAGAGTGGATGAATACCATGCGTCAATGGCGCGAGGGCTTCAGTCACCCACACGCTTACATGACCACCGTCCCATTCCTTCCCAAATTAGTAATAAGAAAGGCTGCATCCGGCGACGTAGTCCCGCGATTGGCAGATACACAAGAGCCAGGATCTATTTCTGGATGCCACCGGACCCTGAGGTAGGTGCTTTAGAAAGCCATACGAGGTATGCTGACGGTTGAATCACATGGCCGCCTGTTACACCATTCAACAGCTTGCAAGGTTGATGAATTGACCCCAACTCACTTTAGCCTGGTCCGCACCACACAGCTCATTGCACACACACACACACACACACACACACACACACACACACACACACGCACGCACGCACGCACGCACACACCATGTACCATGTATACGCCCGTCGCAAGAGAAGCACGCAAATCTGCAAATGAACTCGATGAGCACCCACAGATTTTCTCTTTTAGCAACGATAGCAGACAAGATCTGAATGAGACAGATCAAGACTAGCACACCCATACACACATACACACACATACACACCCACCCACACACCATGACAACAAAGACCCCGGGTCAAATCAAGTAGTGCATACCTGCGGGATGCGCATATCTGCACGTTCTTCGCGTGCATTTGCCGGCTCGGAAGTCCATACAGAGCGGCAGTGTATCACCGGACTGCTGTTGAGATGATGATGCTGGCATTAATGATGCAATGCCGCCAACAGGCTACAAAGGTGAAGCACAGATAAAGTCCTGTTCATCTCAGCCCGGTGCATACCTGAAAATGAGTTAGTCAACTTCAAGATCTAAAACATGGCATCATCTGGGCGAATGGTGCCAGCAGCAGTAGCAGCAGTAGCAGCAGTGGCAGCGGTAGCAGCCGCAGTGGGGAAAGCAGTAGCAGCTTTGGCTTTAGCTACTGCAAGACAAGCTATCACTTGTGACTTTACAGACACACTCTCAGTATTCGATATAAAACAGTCCACACACACACACACACACACACACACACACACACACACACACACACACACACACACACACACACACACACACACACATCAAACTGCTGGAACCGCAGCACACTACATCTCCAAACACAACACAACTTGCAGAGCAGAATATTTCAATACAACGCGTCACAGTTACAGTCCCTTGTCCGCACCATGGTGTTCGGTACTGGGAATGGCAGAGTATTTTACTTCTTTTAAGTACACAAAAACAGCAACGACCCAGGAATGAATTTCCAGCAGTCTAAATGTCCGGAGAGAGCAACAGGGAATCTGCTGAGAACTACCCACAGTGCAACACAACACGTTCCAACACAACAGGATAAAGTAAAAACAGTACAACACACCACAACCACACACGCACATACACACCCACCCACACATGGAAAATGCACACCACCACCACCACCTCCGTATACACGGACGTCGCAAGAGAAGCAGGCAAATCTGCAAGTGCACAGGCTGTACATCAACTGATTTTCTCAGGATACCAAGCAACGAGAGTGTAGAAGACCCAAAGGAACCCAATCCGCACACCTGGCAAAGCCATGTCAATGAAAACTCCATACGCAGAGGGGCTACACAACACAGAGTGAACCGTGATCTAACAGCCAAGAGATGTATCGAAGCACAAAGTTCACTTTGCTGGTGCAACCTACATACCGTATTATCTCCATTATAACTTATAAGCCCTCGGCGTATATTTTCCAACCAGTCTGGACGCTGCGCTTATATTAGAGACTGGGCTTGTAATTTGTATCCATCTGGTGCATGCACATTGGTTGATATTTTTGTTATACCAGTAGCACAAGTGTTTCCCACCAGGTACCATGAATGGCAGTTTTGTACTTCCTGGTATACCGAGTCTGTACACAGGGGATCACGGACTTGCGCTACAATGTGTGTTTGTGATACTGTGTGACGTCAAACGTGCATGGACATGATCCATTTAATTCTCCATTATAAGCCCGGCACTTATATTGGAGACTGTGCTTGTATATCTTCGAAGCCCTCTTGGACTGCGCTTCTACAAGAGACTGGGCTTCTAATAGAGATAATACGGTAGACAGCACGCTGCTCTAACGGAAGCAGAAGACACCACCTTAAAAAAAAGCGGAATTGGAATTACTTTTACCAAGCAGCAGCAGCAGCCGTGACAACTGACAACTGAGGACTGTAGAGCCAAGCGACATACCAACAACAACAACAACAACAACTACACACACACACACAGACGCGGTACCAACACTATAAATCCACCGATGCAAACCTCAGGAACTACAGCTAGCGCTCTCCAAGCACGATAGGAAGACACGGCAGTACGCTGGGCGTATGAACACTAC